CACCACTACTTTGTGTCATCTAGTTGCAAATGTCCCAAGAGATGGCATGTTCTTCCACCACTTCCCTTGGGAGGCTATTTCACAATTGAATAGAGCTCACTGTCAAGTTGCTTTAAAAAAAAAAGTCAAAATGCATATGTGCACATCTTTATTTATTTGTGCAGCAGACCATAACTCCAATATGCTTCCAATATGCATTTTTATTTTTGACTTTTATCTAAACACTCAAAAAAAGGAAACCTCACACGTGTATTTTGCAAAGTTAAGAACAATGTGTGAAATATTTGACGTATATCGCTGAAGGCTAGAAATTCAACCTTTGTTCAAGTTCAAACTGCATTCAGGAACAAACAGTCGTTCCAAATAACTTGTTCTGATAGGTAATGGCAAGCCGGGCCATGTAATACCTAGAACCTACAAAGACTTGCATTCATACTTTAGGGGTGGGGACCCTTTTTGGGGTGGGAGCTGCTCACCTACAGAAAAATCAATCAGGGTCATACCCAAGTGAGAAGCAAAAAACTAACCAAACAAACCCTCGCTGATGTGGCCCTCTAAGAAAGAGAAAAGTACTCTTCACATTCCCCTCGCACACCAGAGCCTCAGGGTGCCCGGGCTAGTACATTTGGCAAGCTCCAGTCCTGCAGGGAGGTGGTAGTGGGGGCTGGAAACCCAGCATGGGCTCCCCAGTGCTGGTTGGGGGAGCCCTGAGCCTCAGGGGCCAGATCCATGCATGCTGGGGGTCCCTTGACTTCTATTGCATTGTGGTGGTGTTGCATTGGATGACGTTTCACGTGAGTTAAAAATGGAGGGCCTTACTGAAAGAAATGAAAAGTGATATAAATATAAGGGCCCTTAAGAAGTCTTCTACTCCAATCCCTGTGATGAGACAGTACCAAATATATCTACTATTTGTCTACTCTGTTCTGAATAGTGGGTGGAAAGTTAATGTATTTCAATAACTGATCAGGTGAAACTGCTTGTGTCTTGCTTTCAATGCTCTTGTTAATGCATCTAGACTTACGTTTGCTTTTTGGAAATAGTATTACATTGGTGGCCCATATTTAGCCCACTATAGCCCCCAGATCCTTTTCTGCAGAACTCCTTCCTAGGCAGTCATTCCCTATTTTGTATTTGTGCCATTGATTGTTCCTTTCTAAGTGTAGGACTTTGCAGATGTGCTTACTGAATTTCATCCAAACCATTTTTCTAGGTCTGACTACCAAAAGGAGGCTTCCAGACTACACTCCAATACTAAATTCTACAGGCCACTTTCCTCAGATCTCACAGAGGAGTACACTAAGAAACTGCACCATCTGCTCAGGAGACTCCCTACACAAGCACAGGAACAAATCAACACACCCTTAATGCCCTGACCAGCATTATTCTATCTACTACCAAAGATCCACAAACCTGGAAATCCTGGATGCGCCATCATCTTGGGCATTGGCACTCTCACTGAAGGACTGTCTGGATATGTGGACTTTCTACTCAGACCCTACGCCACCAGCACTCCCAGCTATCTCCGTGACATCACTGATTTCCTGAGAAAATGACAATGCATTGGTGATCTTCCAGAAAACACCATCCTAGCCACTATGGATGTAGAGGCTCTCTACACAAACATCCCACACATAGATGGAATACAAGATGTCAGGAACAGTATCCCTGATGATGCCACAGAACAACTGGTGGCTGAGCTCTGTGACTTTATCCTCACACACAACTATTTCAGATTCGGTGACAATATATACCTCCAAACCAGTGGCACTGCTATGGGCACCCGCATGGCTCCACAATATGCCAACATTTTTATGGCTGACCTGGAACAATGCTTCCTCAGCTCTCGTCCACTAACATCCCTTCTCTACCTATGCTATATTGATGACATCTTCATTATCTTGACCTATGGGAAGGAGACTCTGGAAGAATTCCACCACAATTTCAACAGCTTCCACCCCACCATCAATCTCAGCCTGGACCAGTCTACACAAGAGTTCCACTTCCTGGACACCATGGTGCAAATAAGTAACGGTCACATAAACACCACCCTATACCGAAAACCTACCAACTGCTATGCCTGCCTTCATGCCTCCAGCTTTCATCCCGGACACACCACACAATCCATTGTCTACAGCCAAGACTAAGGTACAACCGCATCTGCTCCAGCCCCTCAGACAGAGACAAACACCTACAAGATCTTCACCAAGCATTCTTGAAACTGATACCCACTTGAGGAAGTAAGGAAACAGATTAACAGAGCCAGATGTGTACCCAGAAGCCTCCTACTACAAGACAAGCCCAAAAAAGAAACCAACAGAACACCACTGGCCATCACGTACAGTTTTCAGCTAAAGCCTCTCCAACACATCATCAGTGATTCCTCACTTTCACAGGCCTTGGGAGGCAGGCCGCCAACCTGAAGCAAATTCTCACCAGCAACTATATACCAACAAACCTCGGTGCCAACTCTGCCCTCATATCTACACCAGTGACACCATCACAGGACCTAACCAGATCAGCCACACCATCACTGGTTCATTCACCTGCACATTTACCAATATATATATATATGCCATCATGTGCCAGCAATGCTCCTCTTCTATATACATCGACCAAACTGGACAGTCCCTATGTAAAAGAATAAATGGACACAAATCAGATATTAAGAATGGCAATATACAAAAACCTGTAGGACAGTGGTCACCAACCAGTAGATTGGGATCTACTGGTAAACCTTGGAGCCTCTGACAGGTGATCTTGACTGGTTTGGCCACGAGGCTGTCAAGTATGGGCACTTCAGCTGCCCTTCCCCCTACTGCTGTGCAGTCCTGCCCTTTGCTTTGGAGCTGCCTCTCCCCACAACTAGGAGTCTCCTGCTTGCTGTGCAGGGCAGGAGAGGGAGAGGAGGCTGCTGATGTTAAGGTGCCCCCTCTCCCACCCTGTATCCTATCTCCACAGAGCAGAGAGGGGGCACAACATGATTTGGGATGGAGTTGGCTGGCTGCTTTTGGGAGCAGTCCAGGCCCAGGGCAGGGGTGAGCCTGCCTAGCCCCACTGTACCACCATCCAGGAGCCACCTGAGGTAAGCAGTGCCCAGTAGGAGCCTGCATCCTGAAACCCTGCCCCAGTCATGAACCCCCTCCTGCACTCCAGAACCCTATCCTAGCCCCAAGCACCCCTGCATCCAAACACACTCCCAGAGCCTTCACTAGAACTGCCTGCCCCAAGCTCAGCCCAGAGCCCCTCTCTCACTCCAAATCCCTTAATCCAAGACCAGAGCCTGCACCTCAACCCTCTGCCCCTGCCTGGTGAAAGTGTGGGAGGAAGGGGAGAGATGGAGGATGAAGTAAGCAGGGGCGGGGTCTCTGA